TTTCAGTGTCCTTAGCAAGAAGCAGGGACCAACCTTTGTGGATACTATGTTTGCAGATACATGATCTCCATCTGCAAATCTGCTGATAGTTGTGACAATCCTCACGAATTTGTATCAGTAAGTCTATCTTAAATAATATCTTCTACTCCACTCATATGGCACATTCTGATCTTAAAAATACTACAGCTAATCTTAAAACCGAGGACCCCTGAACCGCTCCCGGCTGGTGAATTACTGATGGTTCGGAGATTTATCAGCGACTTTTTCCTGGATCACTACATCAATCCCACTGGTGAGAATGAAGATTTCAGCATGCCTTCTCATGAAACATTGAGTAAGAGTTAGCCGCTAAACATATAATGCATGGATCCATTGTTTTCCATCTGATAAGTTTTTTGTATTTCCTACACTATGACTAATTATGTAATGCATACATGTGTGGACAAATCATTGAAATTTAGCTACCATATGTTCAATTGCAATTGTTGCGAAATCTGATGAATGTTCTTCCTGTGGACACTATTTATTCAATTGAATATTGTGGCGAATTTGCTTTTTGTGTGCCGATTCAAAATGGGATATTTTAGTTTTAACCTGGGAATTGCTCCGCACACGGTTCAAGTAAATGAGTGTGTGCAATCGACGTCGGAAAGCATACGTCAATCATATTGGAACCGTCCAGCAGATTGCAAACGATTCGCAGCGATACTACGTGTGCATAGGTTCTCCGGAACCATTTGTGATATCGCATTATCGCACACGAGAATTGGGATTAAACCGTGCCCAATGCAAAATACAACCCTAGTCGTATTTTTTTCAGGAAACATGTGGGTTCCCAAACGAAAAGCACACGTCACTCTTGCGGCAACCGTCAGTGATACCTAACAAATCATAAATGGTCTGCAACACTTGTGTGTGTGCAAAGGGGCTCCTGAACCGTGTGTGCTAGAACATTATCGCAGACGGTAATTGTTGGAAAATGTGTGTGATGGAGTCTAGCATGGCAGACGGGTTACGCAGAAAACTCTTGTGCGATAGGGCACAAATCACACACAGTTCATATGTTGGCCCGTGTGCCTTACATACTGTTTCCCAAATGGTTCGTTATGACAGACCATATGGTTTCACTGCATCATTGGAAACGCTTAATCACCGATACCAAACATGTGAAAGAATTTAGTGTGTGTTGCATCGCACACGATTACATTTTGGAAGGCCTCTGGATCACTGTTCCATATCACCGACGGTTTTTGGGTCGTGTGGGAAGGACCCCCTATCGCACACACTCACTTGGCGATGGTTCCGAATGCCGTCGCAGAAAGGGGTAAAAAACCATTTGTTTAGGACCGACACGCACCAGTGACTACTAATCCAAACTTGGACACTTTAGTTTGGATTAGTAGTATTTTCGATCCGCACCATGTTGCCTCCACTTGCATTTAATCCACATTTATTTCACCCTACTGATATATATATAATAACTCATCATGCTCATAATGATATAATAACTCAACATCGTTTTCATAATAACAAGTTATACTCATCATCATCATAGTCATCTAACAACTTCTACTCGTTATCATAATAACAAGTCATACTCATCATCATCATAGTCATCTAACCAACCCTTGTTAATTGTTCTTAGCACATGATCATGAGTATTAGCTAGGACCTGCTGCCCTCTCTAAGTAAAATAGCATAAAGCAACATAGCCCCCCATGAGCTGAAGTAAGAGGAAGCGACCCCCACGACAACAGTCGGGATTCTTCCTCTCTGATATTTCGACAGTATATGGTGGACACTCAAGTAGCATTGATAGACTGAAAGTCAACCCGTGAGATTAATCAACACTATGGCAAAACATATATAGGCGTCAGACGACTATTGAGGATATGCCAATGATCTTGTGGGTGTCGTTGAGCGGCACGTCGGTGATCTTCCCTACACAAAATAAAATAAATATGTGAGCTATGCTTGATACGCTATCCAAATCTTTATTATTGTTCACCACGGGTTGACTTTCATTCTGTCGAGTCTTCCTTCTCACGTGGTGTATATGGTGGGCACTCCCTCTCTAATATATTCGACCATCGTTGATGGTCGCTCCTCCACTCGTTCCCGAGTGCATTACACCAAAATGTCTAGCACATGAGAACGAAGGAAAAGCGACCCCACGACAACAGTCGAGATTCTCCTTCCTCTCTCATATATGGTGGACACTCCCTCATTGATTCTTCGACCGTCGGTGATGGTCGCTACTCCTCCTTCTCGTAGTGCATAACAAAGGTCTAGGACAAGGAGAAGAAGGAGAAGCGACCCCCATGACAACAGTCCGTGTTCTTCTTCTCTCATATATGGTGGAGACTCTCGCTCACTGATTTTTTGACTGTCATGTATGGAGCCCTGACAGACTTAAAGTCAACCCGAAATGTCGTTTAATTCTCTTTCTAGAAAATCCGAGGCACTCGATATTTCCTACATATTCTAGAACAAGTCATGCTAAAATTCACGGAAAAATCCGGCATGACCTTTGCTAAAATAGGACATATCGAGCTACTGAAATTTGTCGGAACGAATATGAATCAACACTCCGGCAAAACATAGGCCACTCGGATTTTCCCTGCGATATAAAGATGTGCATACACATTGTCATAGATACTTATCTACTAGTAGTACATCTATGAAACCACATAGACCACATATACCATGTTTACTCAGTATAGACGATGGTTGTCGACTGGGCGGGTGTCGTCGGTGATCTTCTGGGCGTCATCGACCAGCTCGTCGGTGATCTACGAACCCTACGCCACATGAGCACTCACACATGAGCATTCAAACTTGTTGCTCATTGCATTTCAATGGTTCCAAATATTAACAAAAACATTTCAATATATCTTATAATCCAAACATTTCATTCGGACAAGAAGCATAACTAAATAGGACCATCATACACTTACTAAATACCCTAGTTCGACTCTAGTTCTACTCTATTCAACACTTACTAAAAATTTCATTCGGACAATATAGGTCTCTCTCTCTCTCTAAATTTGGCAATGTGATGTTGACATGACAAACTACCCTAGTTCTACTCTATTCAACACTCACTAAAAATTTATATTACTAAAATTGCTATACCTAATTTTTCTTACTATAAACTTTTATTACTAAATTTAATACCTAAACATTTGTATTATTAAAATTTCAAAAACAGAGGGATCAGAGGTGGAGGGAGCAGGAACGAAGGGAGGGGTGAGTGAGGGAGGGAGGGAGGAGGACGGATGAAGCAGTGAGGAGGAGGACGGACGAGGCAGGGAGGAAGGCGGGACTGAGGAGGGAGAGGAAGGTGGAAGGAGGGAGGGAGGGATCGGGAGGTGAAGGGATGAGGAGGGGAGGGAGGTGGAAGGAGGAGGGAGGAGCTACCTCGGTGGAGGAGGAGCAGGAGGGGCGGGCGATGGCGGTGGCTGGGGAGGGCCGGTGCGGGGGAAAGTGAGAGTGGAGTGGAGAGGGGAGAGTGAGGGGCGGACGCGCGGAGAAGATAGGATGGGTTTAGCAGCAGCGCGTGTTAAGGGACAGCACTACTGCTAAACGCCATAGCAGTAGCGCGGGTTTGGGCGCACACGCTACTGGTAACTTGGGCCCACAAGCCAGGAACATTAGAGCGGTAGTGGTAGCGCTGTTCGGCGTAGGTGCGCTATTGTTATTAGGTTAGCAGTAGCGTGTTTTACCCAGGACGCGCTACTGCTACGGGTAACCTCGGTGGGTTAGGTCAGAACCACTTAGCAGCAGCGTTGGGCGAGTGACCAGCGCTACTACTATTGGTTACCTGTAGCGCTTGTTTACACCTCGCGCTAACGCAAAGTAGCAGTAGCGGTTGCCCTGTATCCCGCGCTACTGCTAAGATTCTATCTATAAGGTTTCTCCTAGTAGTGTAATCTAGTCCCCCAAAATGACATTGACTTTTCTTTTTCTCTCGCGCCCCCTAAACTTTCACAATGGAGCCACATCACCCTCTCAACTCAAAAAACAATTATAGTACATAATCCCCTCAACTTTCTCAAATCAGATAAAACAACCCCTCGATCATCTTAAGCTATTTTGGAAGGCTGAACTTTGATAATTGAGCCACATCACCCTCTCAACTTGAAAAATAGTTACAGTACATAATCCCCTCAACTTTGCAAAACCAGATAAAACAACCCCTTGAACATCTTAAGCTATTTTGCAAGGCGTTTTTTGTGACGTGGATAGATGACTCCTTATTGTTGGTGCAGAGTAGCTTTTCATCAAGGGCACTACATCCACCTTGTTGCTCCTGTTGATATGCCATCACCGAGACGCACCTCAAGCTTGCCGCTCTTGGCGCTTATCCATCATTGCCATTGGCTGCATCGAAATACCGTAGCCAGCTATGTCAAAAGTATACCGATGGTAGAAACATATGGTTGCAGGTGTCAACGAAGTCAAGGAGGAGGATGGTATCAGAGCTCATGTCAACAACAGTGACACAGAAGAAGTCCAGGGTCGATGAAGTGTATAGGGATGGAGAGTTGGGAGGTCCATGGGTTCATGCGAAGGTCAAGGGACACATGCCCTCCCTGCGACGGCGCCCCTGACTCGTCCATCACGTGTAGTGGCTCACATGGTAGCTCACTCATCTATTAGTGGGGTCGGACTAAACTTATGCATGAATGGGCCACCATGTGGTGCTTCCGGATTTTTTCTACAAATTATGCCAATAATTCCAATAGAGTTAAGGGGAAAAAATCATCACGCATAGCCACTCTAGTAATATAATGTATGTTCTTTTACACGCAAGTAACACAATAATCTTGAGCATCAAATACAGGGTTCTGAAGTTTTCATGACACAAAAGTTGCATGCAAAATAACTGAGGATCTTGACTGGAATAATCCATCACTCGAAGTAGAATACATGCATATATGCGGCCGGCTGGGTGCCGCGTATATACTTATTTTTCACACTTTCTTCGCCGTCTTCAATCAAGGCAACCATGGGGACATGAAAGTAGTCATGCATGAGCTATTCAGGGACTCAGGAGGGTACCTGCGGAAAGAGGGGATTAAAAATCAGTTGAATGGCTAAATACATATATGGAGGAAATGCACCTCCTAAGTATGCAACAGTCTTTTATAACAAAATATATGAAATTCGCCCTACAGAAAGTACTCTGCCGCAAAACAATTATACTCCTACAAATTACGGCTGCTACCTCGACAGGTTAAATTTATATCAAACTTCAAACGCAGGATGAGAGTAATACCCTATGTGAAGTGTGGGTTCACCAGCTGCATCAAGGGGGTGGAAGAATCCATTGCCGCCGTGCATCGGCGGCTGCACTTCCGGCTGACGTTCATAGCTCAGTACATTGTTGTTGTGCTCCCAGAGCTGCTGCCCATGAACCTGGTTGCTCTCCTCCAACTGTATCCCTCAAAACAAAATCAAACATTACCTAACCTGTTCGTTTTAAGAGTACCAGTCATGGATTTCTTTTTTTTGCTAGTTGTTCTCAAAGAACAATTAGGGTTACGATGAGTAAGAAAGTAACTGTTTCATTTTGATATCCTTTGAGATGAAATACATATGGAATGTTGCTACAAGAATACATATATGAAATAATTAGACTTGCAATCGCAGAAGTACCTACTTTTATTCGAAGACATTTATTCGCCTCTGAAAACATTTGTTCCTGCATGTTTAATAAATTATGGAGGTCATTCACTAAATAGCTTTTAATACTGTTGGATTTCTGAGAGAGCGTACCCTTCTCTGGAGTTCTGTCAATTGGTCAACCATATGTTGTGTCTAAAATAAGGGGGAAAAAACTTGTTAGGGCGCAAAGCAACCTCATAGTTGTATACACATAAAGGCATTAAGAAAATAACGTAAAGATTTTTCATATGGAGAGATATATCTACTTCAAAAGGAAAAACTCACACTTATTAGTTGGAAAAAATCACTTGTTAAAAATTAAGTAATCAGTACCCTTGTTGTTCGAATGTGCTTCAAGGACGAATCGAGTTGCTTCTCAAGGCTCTCGAGCTCTTTTATGCCTAAGGAATCAAGATCTTCACCAAGCAAATTCCTGGATAAGATGCAAAGAAGTGGTTAATTGTGCTGATAAAATTATTATTTCACCTTTCGACTACACTGAAAAGAAACGATACTATGATTAAAGGGTAAACTCGGATTTGTTGGAATGGACAGGATCACTGGTAGTGATCCATATTAAGTTGAGTATATGCGTACTTTTACTTTTGTGACCTTTGAATGTCACATTTGCAAGCACCAACAGTCTGGTAAAGATCCACCAAACTCTATAAAAGTTACTACTACCTCCATTCAAAATATAAGACGTTTTTGAGACGGATGTAGTACTTTCTTAAAGTTTCTATTGTATTCCATTTTGAAGGAATATTAATTGCAGTTTGATGCTCAATCTGACAATCACTCAAGCAATTAAAACAATGACTAGTTACTGCACTTAAATTTTGATCATCACTAAAGATATGGTTTCTGATGGTGATATGTTGCAAAGAGCAACACATTTTGCATTCGTAATTTCTGCTGATTTTAGTTATTTTATATTCAAGATAATGAGTGATAAAGCAACAATATAAAAGAAAGTGTTAAAATAGCTCATTGAAAACACAGCTTACCTTTGTGTTCGCTGTAAATTATCAACCCGTGCCTTTAGTTTCAGGTACTCATTGCGGCTGTTTTTCAGTTGCTGAAAGGAAATAAATAACATAGCACAACTTTACTTCACTAAGAATGATAAGAACAGCAATTTATTGAACATTATGCATCATAAAATTACAAATATACGGATATAATTATGTAAAGAATTAACTGACATCACATGTGATTCATTTTCGCCTTAAAATAACTAAAGAGTGCGTACTTTGTAATGACAGAGAGATTACTTTTGACTCCATCGTATCAAGTCATGTGTAATTTCTTGCATGAAAGAGCACAGGGCAGAAATCAGCACACTAATAACAATTATAATTAGGAGTCATTTTCTGTCCACCCTGATGTGTGGTCAGTTCATCCTACCAATTGTAGTGCATGCTTACATTTAAAGATGAAGATGACCCAAGTTTGAGTTAATGGGCTACATATTCCGTAAACCATGTGTAATATATGAATTTGTGTATGTTTAGAGTTTGAGAATCATGGGGCCATAATAGGAAGTGTTTTGGTATATTTGCATGCTTTAAATATTCTTGAGACCTTTCGGGGGTTGCAGATACTTTCCATGTGATATGCATATGATTAATTCCAAACCTAGAATATCATTTATATGTAGGAACAGCTGGTAATATACGCGCTGAAAGTACGGAGATTTTTACAGCAAATGTAATTAAGTAGTAAAAATCTTCTTGCCAACTCATGGGTAACAGGTTCTACCTCATTTTCTCTGTTCTGCACAGTAGTTTCAGGTCCTGCATAACTGCATTTTTGATACTTGTCGAGTGTCTTCGTCATGCTACAACATGTCCAATGGCAAAAGTTATATTTCAATCATACTCCCTCCGTCTTAAAATAAATGTCTCAACTTCGTACTAAGTTTAGCATAAAGTTGTACTAAAGTTGAGACACTTATTTTGAGACGGAGGAATTAGGTTACTAGATATATATAGCCAGACACCAAAACCGCATGACAAATCTATATGTGAATATTAATGTTAGATTATTTACTGCAGAGCTAGAACAGATGGTGAGGATAAGAAAAGGCACGTGCCAAGTGTAGAGGTAAAGATTCTATGTGTCAGTGGCTAGTACTCTACTTCGCAGTTCAGTTGGGCCTCTAAAATGTTCTTACCACAGTACCAGCCCACGAATCAAAATATCCACCGTGACGCCACAGGATACGCCTGATGAGAAACTTACTTAAACGGTACAAAGTGATAATGAAGGTTACCCGCAGAAAAACAAGTGGTAATGAAGGGAGTGGAGTAGTGGACAGCTACTCACTAAGAATTGATCGAGAGAAATGATGCCCAAACTAGACATCTTTCGAACATGAATTAAGTAACTCTATTTTTTTGTTGGTCGTAAAACTATCTTAGGAGTATCAGTCCGTAACTAATGACCCGTGTTCTCGTAAAATTCTACCCAACCTAATTTTGGGTTGCTAGCATGTGGGCTAGCTTTTTCTTGGATTCATATGTCAGCCGCTCCAAAGTCAGGGAGTTTAAGTTAAAGAATCTCTGTCTCAAATCAAAATATGCACAGTGCTGCAGTGGCGACATGAGATAACTTGTTGAGATGCTGACTTAAAAATAACATTATGTACTAAAAGAAAGGGGTACACAATAGTGTGTACCGAGAGCAATAACACATTAGAAACAAAAATACAGAAGAACATAGGGTGTACGCGGTTGCACCAAGGTTGTTCCTGACTCCCCGATCCTTGCGTACCAGGAATCTTCACACTAAGTGATGAGTAATTTTCAGTCCAGCTTTTTAGTGCAAACCACACAAAATATATGTGCTAGTTTTATGTGTGTGCTAAAATGTCATACGCTCCCATGAATGCTCACTTGACAACTGAGTGAATGGATGCGCTCGAGGGAATTGATTGAAATTTAACATTTTTTTGGCTAAAGAAAACCTCAATTAACAAAAAAAAAACACGTAACAATAACTTATATTTCTGCAATGCAAGTTAATTACTTCTACTCCTACCTAACACGTGGTGCACACAAGTCAATTCAGAAAACATGGAGTCAAACTTTGTGACTTCACAAATTGTTTACACTGCTAAGGAGAAAATTAGTTTATCTTGAACAAAGCACTGACAAAATCGTAATAATACTTTTCTACTAACATGTACATTATAAATAAATATGCTAACGATGGTATAATGTTTAAGACAATGTGTACCTTGGGAATACTTGTAAGTTTGCAATATATACTATAGGCAATTGTATTGTACAAGATCTTAGGTAGGTATGTGGGCGTGTCCAAAGTTAGAATCAACCATCTTTCATGCATCCATTAATTAGTTCTACTCTCTCGGAAAGCTAGACCAACATTCAAAAATTTCATCATCCCTTAGATGATGATACACTCCCACCAAAGACACTATGACTTCAGCTTTGCATGGAGTTTCACATGTACAGCATCTAGCTACATCAACCTCCGTAGAACATAATTTGCTAATAACTATGAGATGTATAGCAATGGTTGCTACTCACCATGCACATCTGTACACAAACATTTAGTCTTCTGTTTGCAACTTCATTTTGTTTCTATGTTTCTCATCCAAGGTCGGAACCTTCGTTTCGGGGTTACCATAGAAGAAATGGTTTGTAATTAAGGAAACCACCCCACTGGATGCCCGCAAAGTCCACTACATAGTTAGATCAGGGAGTGTCTCGACCGGGAATCCGGGAAAGTACGGTGCACCAAAATGACCAGCAGGGAGGAAACCCTAAAACCCACGGTATTGGGCGGATCCGGCTCGGTAGTCCCTGGAAAGCCGGCGCCAATCCGGCGGATCGTAAGTGCCCCCCTAACCTCGGGACGCTCAATTGCACAGATCCACGCGAAACAGCCGTCCCTCGCGCGCGGCACCTCAGCGACGTAGCTGGACGGAGCTTGGTGACGTGACGCGCAAGGGGACGCCATTTCATGGGCAGATCTGGCAAGATGACTCGCGCGCGCACGATTTGAGCGAACGGACAAGCGCGTGTGTATACCTCTGGGTGCTGCAGAACTCGTAGAGCTTGCCGCGGTTGGAGAAGACGATGAGCGCGACCTCGGCGTCGCACAGCACGGAGAGCTCGTAGGCCTTCTTGAGCAGGCCGTTCCTGCGCTTGGCGAAGGTGACCTGGCGGTTGATCTTGTTCTCGATCCGCTTCAGCTCCACCCTCCCCCTCCCCATGGCTGACTCCGCTGCTTCCTCCACCTTCCCCGTCCCTAGCTAGCTATGCTGCAGCAACCATACACACACACCACCACCACCACCAAGCGTACTACTCGTAGCAACAAGGGAGAGGAGGGGAGGAAGATAAGGGGGTGGGGAGGAGCAGGCAGGCAGGCAGCTGGCTGGCTAGCCTGGTAGGGATTAAAGCGAGAGATGATGGGTGCAGGGGAGGAGCCAGTGGGCACAAGGGGGGCTCCGCGGGGTGCCGTTTTTGGCAAAGGATGAGTAGGGGGGGAAACCCTAGAGGACCAGCAGCGTAGCGCGTTTCCGGAAGGCTAGGGATGGGATGGGCCGCGCGTCGCGTCCGTCCGTCCCCGTCCCCGTCGCCATCCATCCTTAACTCCTCCTCCACGCCCTGCTTTATTCGCTAGCTTTTTGCACTCCAAGCACGGCTAGCTCCACACACACAAGCACGCTCCCGTTCTGCTCTCTCTCTCGCTCGCTCGCTCTCTGACACGATCACACCGAGGCGCTCGCAAGACATGGCGCTGCAGCGGATCCGCAGGAAGCCGCGGTGAGGGATTTTTTCAACGGCTGGTCGGTTGGCGAGCCGTCCGATCGGCGCGGCCGATGGCCCTGCGGTCGACACGTGGTGCGTTGCGGATCCTGGCTGGCTGCCCGCGTACGTAACATGCATGCATGTCCCGGCCCACCACATATGCGCCCACAGCGGAGGTTGATGCGTCTTCCCCGGCCGGGGTCCGGGCCCGTACGGCGGCACCCATCGGCCAAGCGACCGCACGCCGGTGCATTCATGCATGGCATGGGCACGAACAGCCGATCCACCGGGAGGACACTGTTGCTTCCATCTGCCGCGCACGAAGACGACGGGATCCCCGGGCCGATGTTCCTCGGCGAGTAAAATCCTCGATGAGCAGAACCAAAAAATGTGGCTGATAATTCGATCGGTTCATGTGGCGGGTGCGGACTGGCATTTGCTGCACTAATCAGCGAGAGAGCGGGCCGGCGCGTGGTCGTTTTACGACCCGGCGTAGCGTACGGGAGCCAGCAACCTTCGTGTCCAGGCTCGGGCTTGAGACCGGACAAAGGAACGTACGTCGCGCAGAGCATGCCAGCGAGTGACCGATTTGATGGCTCCATCGATCGGGCGGGACCCGGGCATTCGGCGAACGGTATGAGACCTATGGTGACGTGAGTTCGACGTATGCCGTCCAAAGGAAAATGGCGTGTGGTGAGAGCAGTGTCGCTCAAGTGCTGCCTTTGCTGATGGCTGCAAGAGTAGAGTAAACTAACGCAGTCTGGTCGTGTCGGGTCCGGTTCTCTGGCGGGAACCCAGAAGGACGTATTCCGCATTAGAGCGTGTAAACTAACGCCTAAAAACAATGCTCCAACAGATAATGTATATATATTTTTTTACTTAGGTTTTGCTCTAGATGTACAATAGCACTTGATAATTCAAATTTGCTAAGCTAGCCGTGCTCGAGCAAAACGCAATCATCCGCACGCGCACGACTAGCACCCCC